CCCCGCACGCTGCTCATTCATTTTCACTCTTTCAGAGATAAACAGAGAGTCATGGAAGCGGTGCACCGACTCAGCTCTGAAGATGGGGGTCTTAAGCTTAACGGCTCAATGGTGTCAATTGACAATGACTTCTCCACGGCGGTGCTGAAGAAGCCAAAGGCCTATGATGCAGTGACGCTGCTTTTACGGGAGCGGGGTATACAGTACACCATGTTCTTTCCGGCGACAGTCCAGGTGACACACAATGGCTCGAGGAGGAGATTCTCCACACCTGGACAGGTGCAGGATTTCCTGGCTTCCCTACCTGATTGAATCCCCTGCCACTTGCTTCTTCTTACACTTACTGCATCATTGACTAGGATCAGATGCAGTCCAAATGTCCCCTGTTTAATTTGTTATATGTTAAAGAGATCAGTGTCAAAAAACTCTCCAACAATCCTATTACTCTATGCTCTGTCAAGGCCTGGATGTCTATCCGTGCTTTGGAGGGCTGGGTCCATCTGATATCCTAGCTGGCTCCTGTTATGACTGGCCCTTACTTCTTGCCTGGATGTCTGGACCAGGTTTTTTTGGTCTGGTCTAATTTGGGGCTGGTTAACTTGGGTGATCTGTTTAGAGGTCGGACCCTTCTTTCCTTTCAGCAGCTTCAGCAATGTTTTGGCCTTCACAATGTGGAATTCTTTAGATACCTGCAACTGAGGCATGTTATAATTAATGACACCACCCTAATGTTGGACTACTAGGTCTGCAGTGGAGGATGCTTTGTCCTCACTGCAATCACTTTCCTTGGCTGGAAATAGGAGAAACAGACTGAAGCATTTTGTGGTTGGGCTCCAAGCAAAGAACTAGGATGGAGATGGATACATGGTTAAATCACAAAAGGCAAAAACTAGCAGGTAGCAAGGACGGCCTGATTGCCACCATAATGACAAGGACAATCTAGCGGAGAACCGTTGCAAAAACAGGAGCTTGATTACAAAAATGGAACAGGTGTGAAAAGAAAAAGAAAGACTTTACCCAGAGGCAAGCTGGCAAGATAGACCGAGCCCAGCAACTCCACCTGTGATGTAAAGAGAAAGGGCTCAAGAAGGAGAGACAGAAAAAAAGGAAAAAGAATACCCTGCCAGGACCATAACTGAGATTACATACATTTCTGGTAAATTGGCTTTAAGATTTGGAGGAATCATAGATGACCAAAGAAATTATTTTTCCATTGTTTGACTTGAGGAAGTGATAAGTCATCTAACCTTTAGTATTTAAGACATTACAGCAGAAGCTGTAGGGAATCCTGAGATTTTAGCAGAAGATATAGCTGTAAATCATCAGCGTAGAAATGGAAGGTGTTATATCTCCTACTAATATTACCAAGTGGAACCAGATAACTCTGAGGGATCCTGCAAAAAACAGGGGCAGGGTATGAGAAAAACTGAGCAACAGACACACAGAAAGTCTTATCCTTGAGATAAGAACTGAGGCAGCGAATAGCTTTGCCCTTAATACCAAAGCAGAGTTCAAGGCAAGCCAAAGGAATCAAAAAGCATGGACTCATCTGAAACAGAATCAGAACTGTACTGGAATCTAACAAAGTGTGAATAAGGTTAAAGCTAATTTGATTCAATTCTATTCTGTTTTGCTGTTTCTGTATTACAGAAGATACTTCCATTGATGCACCGACCAACACACTGAATAACACTCCCAAAACAAGAAATGAGGGTTACAGATGTATTTATTAGTAGCAGTAGTAGTATTGTTGTTGTTGTTGTATTATAGCTCGTTATATAATTTATTTTTATTTATGTGTGTAGGATATTAATATGATATATGCCACTGTCTCAGCTGAACTCTGGACACGCACACACATTCATATACACTGATATGCACACACTCACTCCCCCCTCCCTTTCCAAATGCCTTCGACGCTTATTCCCCTCTGATGCTGCACCCTTTACCCACCCCTGTTGCTTGTCATGTGTTTCTTTGGTGTATTAAAAGGTTTTTTCATGTGCTATGTGCAGAGGTGTTTTTTTCTGTTCTCAAACTGATCTCCCTGTTGGAGCTCAGTCTGGGGGGAGTTATTTTTTTCTCCTTATCTTTCCTCATGTGGTGCATTTTCCATTGTTATACCTCTCTGACCTGTCTTCCCGATGTGATGTTTTGTGTAATGTATGTATGGTCGGAGGGTAAGATGGCGCCGCCATTGCGTGCAATAGGTCGGCAGCCTTATGAAATTTCCCCTTGTGGGACTAATAAATGTATATCAACTCAATTATAGATGTTTTAGTATACATTATTAGTACAGTAGTACAGTATACAGTATACTACAATCCTTCAGAGATTCAATATCTGAATAAATACCTTCATATGAAAGACAAAGCATTCAATCTAATAACTCAACATATTGAAACACAAACATATATTGCTTCTGCAGATAAAGCTTGGCAGATTTTAGTAGCATGATTCTATAAACACTATCTTTAATTCAGTGTTTTTTGTTGAGCTAGTTTGATGTTTAGATATCAGATGATGTATGCTGTGAACAAACATCTGTGCAAGTTTGAATAATTCAGATTTCCCCTATGGTGTTTCCTTATAGATATTCAAAAGCATGTGAAAATAAAAAAACAAAAAGTGCAGTGCAGCGTCCAGTTGTATCACATTGCAAAAAAAAAAAGAAAGAAAGAAAAAAAAAAGACTTTTTCTGTGAACACAGTTTTTCCATGTTTTTCATGGTTGCAGTCCCTGACATCTTATTTGTGCCTTCTGGTGTTGGTAAAGATGAAAAATAAAGAGAGGCAAGGAAAAGGCTTCACATTATTACTATGTGCAGTATCAGACTCCGCTGTAATAATTCTATCCTGAATGTTTCTTTGAAGAAAAATTGAAGCCTTGACAAAACTCTAATGAGAATCTGAATCATAACTGAATCATTTAATTGAAACATACATGAACAAACTCATGAAATGATCTTAAAGTCCACACCTCCATAAAAGAGATGACTTGTGCAGGTTTTGTGAGACTTCCACACAAGGTTGCCAGATATGCAGAGTGGAGAAAGAAGGCTGTATCTTTATTTAGCCGGGCCATTATGGAAAGGTCACAAAGTTTATTTTGAAACACAGATACATACCCGTACACATGCACACACACGTTTCAGCAACCCAAACCCGCGCACACACATCATACCAAAGGAGAAACAAAGGCAAGCCTAAAATAGAGAAACAGATGACTAACACTTAACTGTACACACAGATACTGGACGCACACTCACACACACACACAGTAAAAAAAACAAGTTTCCAGATATATTCAAACTGATCGATTTTCTTGGACGGTCTGTCATTTTTAGCTGTGCTCTGCTGTATAATTATTGATCCGCAGTAATCAGTGGAATATCAATCTTGCCTTGAACTTTCCACTTAGGTATTTTCAGAATGGCCTGGCCATGCGCTTTATGAGTTTGCGGTTGATTAAAAGAACAACAGAAGAGAAAGAAAGTTTAGAAGTTAACAGGCAGGATATTTGTTGACACAGCATGGATCCACATGTGTGTCTGTGTGTGTCATTTTTGGCACAGGAAGGAGGACAGGATGTTCTGTTTGGATGTGAAAGTGTCATGTCCTTTCTAATCTATATACAGTAGTACAGTAGCCTGAGGAGTGTACATTATACTTCCATTGAAAACATGTGGAAATAATTAGGACAGCTTGGTGGAGTTGAGTTGTTTACGGCTTCTACATAGTTTAGCGTCATGTTGCATCATCTTTTGCTGGTGCCTGTAGTGTGGGGCTCAGTGTTCAAGTACAATTTAGCATTCTGGTTCACTTCATAAGAATGTTTTATGAGGTGTAGTAACTGAATCTTCATTATTTCAACATAAAAAAATGAGTAAATAAATCTTTCTATGCTTTATGGTGCAATTTGTTCTTTCTTAAAGAAATAGTTCACTTTCTTGCTTAAAGTCACCACTTTGTCATTCAGTGAGATGATTGCGGCCCTCAGATGAGGCTTAGTTTGTCATTAGGGATGGGACCAGGAACAGAGAAACAACTACAATGGTTCTGTCTCAGGTTCAACTGCAGTGACCATTAATTAAGATTTTACATCTTGGGTTTGTTTTTCTTTTTTTAAATGATTGTTAAGAGCTGGTCTCTTTCACCAAGGTTCGGTTACTTCCTCAATCAGCGACTGCCCATGAAGCCCAGATAAAGTCCCTAATTGTTGCACACAAGCAATAGTGTGAAATGAGAGGTATCAGCACACATATTTTGTCACCACTGGACCGAGCCAGGCTAGCTGTGTTTTTAGTCTTGCATTCTTTCCAGAGACCAGGGAGTAACTCCTGCGGTTACAGACAGAGCTGCAGTATGGTGAAGGCCATGGGAAAATGACCCTTAAGCACTCTTAATCTGTGACCTCATTAAACACTTTCCTGATGAATTCATCCTTTCGATCACGTTTCGAGTCTTACTGCATACAGCATGGTGTTTATTTTGTAAATTATTGTTCCCAGAAGGGTAAAAATGGAGGTTCGAGTAGAGCATGTGTGTCTGCTTGTGACTGACATGTCACTACCAATTCCAATGTCTTTTAGTTTCCCAGCAAACTCAACCCTCACTCATATCCAGATGGCAACGCTCAGAACTGACATCACAAACCAAATGGTGACGTTATGTTGCTTTCTCCATCTTTTGTATACAGTCATACTTTTATATACATCCTGGTACATATGTACAAAGAAACAGCCACAGATTTTAGCAAGTTTATGGAAAAGAAAGAACTTCAAAAAATAATTTTGGGAGCACTAATTAAAATGTTTTATCTTGTTTTTACAGACAGAGGAGCCATTGAGAGGAATACTCCAACAGGGAATGTGTCTTCAAGCATTTAGGGAATGTTTTCAGGGAATCAGTCGGAAGAATTTCCAGATGTTGGTTATATTTCAGAACTGGAAGACATGGAGCTCTTACCGATAACTGTCCTTGGTAAGATTTTAAGGATCACCACACACTGAAGAGAAGCTGGGAGACAGGACCTCTGATCCTTAACTATATATCAGTAATGAGATGATGCGCGAAAAATATTGCAGCTGAAGCCAAGAGGCCACGTCAAGCAGGGGTTAAAGTGGACTAATGTCCTTATTTAATTTAGAATTGTTAAATAAGACATTGAATCCACAAATTATGTTTTTGCTGAATTATATTTTTGTGAAATATCTTGCAAAATAAATTGAAATATATTAATTTTGTGTTATTCAAATATTGCCTAAAAAACAAACAAACAGGCAGTTTAGTATTTTGATAAAGTCTACAGTT